TCAGTGTTTATTCACACATTCATTAGTTTATTCCAGGAACTACGGTACATGGATTCTGCAAGCACCACTTGGTCAAGCTGGACAAGTCTGAGGACAGGAGCTTGGGGTATCTGGGGTTTGTGGTACAATGATCTCATCATGACCACCTGCAACCATGGTAATAACTCATTGCTTCTACACTGACATTAGATTGGCAAATTGGCAGTCCCAGGTAGTTTTACTATGTTCAAGTTATACAACCTTTTAAGTCGAACCACCATGTTTATGATGCATATCAGTGAAGTACTTAATGATTATCTTCAAATCAGGAAACAACAACCAGTGTATAAAACATAGCCCGTCCCACCATCCTTGACGGTCTATTTTCGTGAAGGAAGGTCTAATATTATTGAATAAGTCAAACCGTCCTTTGGTCGGGGGAAATATTTGAAAAAATAAACTTAACTTGGTTTGATCTTTGCCTTATCTGTTATTTTTTCATTGTTTTAGTTTTTGGGACTGGCTGTATTTGTTCAGGACTGGTCGCTTTTTGGACAGCCAGTCCTTGGACAGGTCATATTTCAAAACTATATTATACACTGCAACAGCATAGTTTTACACATGGTGCATATTACAAAGTGCAGACCTGTGCTGCAAAGTGTACCAGACTCATTAGTGATGATTCTCCTTATCGGAATAGAATGAAGATCATGCAGGTATAATGATTAAAGCCTAATTATCAGTCATTTGTGGTTTAAACATATTTTTATTTCGCCAAAGCAGAAACCTGGAGGGGCTGTGGGGTAGCCTAGTGGTTAAAGCGTTGGCTCGTCACGCCGAAGACCTGGGTTTGAATCCCCACATGGGTACAATGTGTGAAGCCTATTTCTGGTGTCCCCTGCCGTGATGTTGCTGGAATATTGCTAAAAGCGGCATAAAACCAAACTCAGTCAGTCAGAAACCTGGATAGGCGAACAAGCATAGTGGCTTATATAAACGCCGCTCCAGTACATTGTTCAAATAGCTGGATACATAAATGAAATAATCTGACAACAAAAGAATAATACCATAACAGATATATGATTGAGTAACAAATATGTTCGTTGTGGTGTTGGTTATGCCTAGCAAGTAATGGGCTGAAAATCATGTTATATAAAATTTGTCTGACACTGAATATATATGTTGAGGGGATAATAACTTTGTGCTTGTCCTGGGTCCCTATCCACAAAACGTTCGTAGCGTTACGACATTCTTAAGTCTATGATAAACTATAGAGTTACGACAGGTCGTAACGTTACGAATGCTTTGTGCATCGGGACCCTGGCTTCCACAAATATATCCTTATAGCACAATATATATGACAGCTTTCAGGTGAAAGTGTATACTAATAAAATCCCCATCTGTAGTGATAATGGTGGAACATATTGCATTAATAACAGATGTATAAGACTATGCATCTGGAGCCTGTGGGGGGCCAGTAACCAGAATGATCCTTTGTAACATGATCAATGATTATGAGTGACACAATCATCATCATCATAGATGGTTAACATTAGTGTTGGGACTCGGAAACCAAATCCACTATCAATTATCAGAGGGTTTGTGGTCAATGATTATCGATTATAATCAAATGTATACATTTTTAATGCACTCAGCAATTTTAAGGTTTTTTTTATAACTAATACTGTCATGCAATGAAATGCACGCATGCAAGAAAGACACTGGAATTGTAATTATACAATAAAAGTGGTTTAAGTTTTACAATGCACATAGCTTTATGCTGTTGAGTGCATGTTTGTTCGTGAATATTCATCAAATTTAAAGGTTAGTTTACTTCATTCGATCAATCCCAAATATGTTTTTTACAATCGATAATCATTTTTAATCCTTCTTTCGATCGATTTTCGATTACTTTCGATCATCGGAACACCACTAGTAAACATACAGTGAACAAACCCCTACCCTCACTGCAGCTGCAACACGTACACTACATAAAGTCATTGTACGGCATTTAGAGCAAAATAAGTGAGTGAGTGAGTTTAGTTTTACGCCACACTCAGCAATATTTCAGCTATATGGCGGCGGTCTGTAAATAATAGAGTCTGGACCAGACAATTCAGTGATCAACAGCATGAGCATCGATCTGCGCAATTGGGAACCGATGACATGTGTCAACCAAGCCAGCGAGCCTGACCACCCGATCCCGTTAGTCACCTCCTATGACAAGCATGGGTTACTGAAGGTTCATTCCAACCCGGACATTCACGGGTGAGCAAAATCAGGTGAATATGATATTTTTTTAATATTACGTAATGAGCACAAATGTTTACTCATTAGTACTTTGTTTAATATCAAGGTATTAGTATTAAAATAACAAATGTAATGAAATTGCTTTGGTTGAAACATTTCAATATTTTTGTAAAGCCAAAGAGCAATGCAATGTAACTTACAGCCTAATGACAATATACTGTAAGGGGTCTTGGCAAAATTACCTCCACAAGTCATGCTTAACAGAATACATCGAGCACAAATGTCATTAGTACTTTGGGATGTGTTTGTTTAATATCAAGGTATTAGATCTTGAGTTAATGCGTTAATCAATATCTGTAATTTTTACACAAGCATGCTTAACACACAAATAATTGACTCGTAGATCTTGAGTTAAACGTTTCTCTATTTTTGCACACACAAATAATTGACATACATATCGTTTAGCTGTAAAATTAGTGATCTAAATTCAGATTTGTTGTCAAATACTCCATGATTTTCAATATCTTTTCATCAAAGGGTTTTTTAATCCATTTCATGTAATATGTGTTTCATGCACAATCGTATGTTCGTCAAAGGGTGATAACTGCATTAAAATCTGTGTACCTATAATTCGGACTTTTTAGTTGGTCCCAAGCTGGTCTGAATTAGACAGAGTGCACTGTATTTCTTTATGCTTCCCTTGGTAACATTCCAACCATACAACTACAAGTACAACAGGATGTATACAAATACCAGCGTGATGAATAACGCTCGGTCTTTAGCATCCTGGAGCTGTTGTTTGATGCTGCATTCAGCAGTTTTCCACTATATCAGGAATAGATACCACTAGTCATATGAAACTAGTCTGCAGCAATTGGACAAGTGATTCATGCGAACTATCTTTGAACTATTTTTGTGAAATCCACCAGTCCCTCTAGATTTTCACCGACTGACTTTAGGCGGTGTTTGCTGGTTTATCATAGTGTTGGGAATTGGTTAAAATCTCATAATTGATGATTGGTTCACTACTACCGATCAATCATCGAAAATAATTGGTTAGCGTCATTTATGAAATTTGTTAATGCACATTAAAATAAGGGGAAAAACATGTAGTTCTTCTGGAATTTTTGTCAAAATTTCACATCTTTAAAGGATGACTAGTATGTTAGGAACATAAATTTCTTGGAATCTTTAAGATAAATTCAATCATGACTTGAAACGAGCTTGTAGTGCTTACGAAATGTAACAGACAAAACCAACCATGTGAAAAATATTTTTAATGAAAACAAGTGTTCCAGAATTGTTTGTGTTCGATTATGAGAAAGCATGATCGATTGCTTGGTCGTTTAGTCACTACGACCAATCTTCGATTATTTCAATTAATCAGATCACCATTAGTTTGTTGGTCAGCACATCAATGTGACAGTAGTCTGTAAATTATCAAATCTGGACCAGACATTCCAGTGATTTACATCATCAGCATCAATCTACACAATTGTGATACATTGACATGCTTCAACTGAGTCACTGAGCATGACCAGCCGGTCTAGATAGTTGCCTCTTTAGACAGGCATTAGGGGTGACACGGTATGCTCCTACCACGGTACGGACGGTACGGACCGTATTGTGGTACAAAGCCTTCAGTTCAGTCCATTTCGGTATATGAGATATGATCATAATGCACAAAATCGACAAGAGCTAAACCTTACAGAAATGCATAGATTTTGACAAAATAATTCAATTTCCAAACTCATTAGAAAAAGGTTCAAAAAGGTTAATAAAATGACGGTACAAAAACCGAAAATACCGATTTTTTGGATTGCATTAAGGTATACCAAACCGAATGTAAAATACTGCAGTTCTACTAATACCGCGGTATACCTGAGCTTTTCCCAAGTGTGCCACAGGGCATTTATACAAGTTATACACTCGCACAGGGCTCATGATAAGGGTTGTATTGGCGTATGTACGGATAAAAAATATGCACGATACGGAAGGACATGTTTTGGAAAAAGTAGCAGATACGCACCACTGCAATGTTGTATGGTCTTAGAATCATTTACAGACGTATTTATCCGAAAAAAGTATTGTTTTATTGTTCATTGACCTGTTTACACAAGAGTGGCAATGTTGTGGTGCATACATGAAATGAAACACAAGATTACTGATACTCCATTCAATTCAATGGATATATAATTAATATCTATGAACTAAGTCACGGTCTGGCTTAAGTATCCTAATCCTAACCCAAAATAAATAGCAATTAGCATGAATTAATTCTTTCCCAAAACGTGGCAAAACTGTTCTTATATGAAATAAATACATAAATACACAACCCAACTGTACTGATACTGAGCCTCTGGTGCACTTGTTTTAAACAAAATATCTCGTGATATCATACATTACCAACATGAGGATATTTTTAGTAATCGTCTATTGTAAATACGGAAGTGAGCGAAAACTGAGGGACTGTTGTTTTCCGACTTTTCGTACAGCAGATCGGCTTTCTCACAAGGTACGACAGCACAACTGACGAATATCATCCACCAACACATAAACAAAAATACTCATTTATCAGCGTAATGTCAGTGTGAACATTTATTACGGACAATATAAAGTGGAAACTGCCCTTTGCCCTTCTGAACCCTACCGATGAAGCTGTCCAGTGGCAGATGGTTCTGTCATCAGTGGCCTAATCGGCGATCGATAAAGTGGCATTATGACGCGGTTTTGAGCCATCACCCGCATGCAACCTCGCCAAAAGTACTTACTTGCAATTTCGTTCAGTGTCCGGTTCGTGCTGAATCTCGTGCAAGAAGAAAAAGCTGCCAATTAAGACAGAAACAACCAAAATCCCTAAGCTAACGGACGGTATTATCACGTCGCACCGAAACCACAAAACCTGCATCTCCGAAATTGTGATGTGAACTACGTCACCACTTTATGCTGAGGGACTGGTTATTGCTCAGCCCGGTTCCCTGGGTTTGCTGCGCTCAGATGAAACGAGGCTCATAATATATCTGCTTTAATCAGTGTAGCTCTTCGTCACGCTGGGACCCCCTGTGTTTGCGACCAGTACTACACCATAAGCATGCAATAAACCGGCCATACGGATATAGTAAAGGGTCCCATGGTGATAATATTATAATATTACAAGCAGAGGTGGCCCGTCAAAGTTAAGAGAGGATAGAAAACCAAGAAGTTATACATCACAAATATTTATATTTACAGAGAAGCAATAAAAAACAATGAACAATTATATTTTATTACCGTTCGCCGTAATCTAGAACAATTCCTCGAAATGATGTCAACGTCTATTCCTTTGCCCGCAAAGATGAATTATTGTCGATTAACAATTTTTTTTTATATAAAATGTATAGCTGCCATAGTTTTGGTGTCTAAGATCGATCGATCAATCAACAATCATAAACTCCTTGTGCAAAGTTACATAATCTCTCATTTGAGTTTTCCCGTTACTTATTTAAAGCATCTAGGCTACATTTGTGAGGTGAGGTGAAATTGGGTTTAACGTCGCGCTTGAGAATATTTCGCTCATATGACGACGTGCATGCGTGTGTATGTGTATGTGCGGCTGCTTGTACTAGCCCAGACTGAAGCTGGTTTTATAATGCTAGCCCACTGAGATACCATGCCGCAGTGAAGCATGAATACCCCACTCAGACAAATTATACTGACTCCGAGCCGACTAGTCCTTGTTGTACCCATTAATGCCGAGCGCCAGACAGGGACCAACAAGTACCATATTTTAACGTCTTTTGGTGTGACGCGGTCGGGGGCTACATTTGTACAATAACAGTACGTACATACAGTAGCTGGTCATAAGTGATTCATCATGAGTGAAATGTCCATAGACTTACATGTTAATTAACTGTTGCAAGAATAATTTTCATAAATTGAGTAGAAGTCATTTTATTTTATATTTTGCAAACATCTTGAAATCATCTTCAATTACGTGTATTTAATTTTCTTTCATCTTTCAGTTGATTAGTTATAGAATGACACCTGATTAAGCACCATAAGTACAACTTAATATTAATCTATCCCATAGACAGCCATGTTAAACCTGATTAGTATGTGTAAGATGTGTTGTTTAAATAGTGGCAGATTTCTTAATAATCATCGGAAAATTGAATGGAAATTATGTGTATGTAGCTGAGATGATTTCCCAGCTGGTAGTTAGGTATACTGAAAGCGATTTGACCGAAACTAAATTTATGGAAATTATTCTTGCAAAAGTTAATTAACCTGCAAGTGTATGGGAATTTCACTAATGATGACTCATTTATGGCCAGCTACTGTACGCTCCTGCATTGAACAGGGTATTAACGTGAAAAAAACAGAATTTTTTTACCTGAAAGAATTGAAATTCCTGATGCATTAGTTTTGTTACCTAATTGGCCACAGGAGGCTAAAGTGAAATATCCGTTTTACGCGCAGTACGTATTTCAGTCCTATAGTATACTGTGAAGGACGTAGTAATTACAGACATTGTCAGTACTAATTACACAGCACGTACTTATAGATACGGTAACTGCGTTACTTGCAGTGGAAATAGTAAAGAGTGTCCCGTGACTTGTAGTACAAAGTAAAGAAAGTACCGTGACTTTAGTAGGCATAGTAAAGGGAGAACCTTAACGCGGCGTTTCAGTGTGCATCAAAGGGACGAGTTTGTGAAACCGGGTCGTTCGAAAAACCGATTCCACTGCAGATATCTCTGAGACTGAGACTGAGACTGAGACTGAGACTGAGACTGACCCGGTTTCACAAACTGACAATTTCTTACCAAAAGCCGTTGACGTATATTCGTCCCTTTGTTTACGCACTGTAAAACACCACGTCACACCATGCGGTCTACTGCAAGTCACGGGGCTCTCTTTACAATGGCTACTACAATAAAATTATTGAGTCACGGAACCACGTGCAACCGGCCGCAGACTCTCTTCACTATGTCTACTACAAGTCACGGGTCTCTCTTCATTATGTCTACTACAAGTCACGGGTCACTCTTCACTATGTCTACTACAAGTCACGGGTCACTCTTCACTATGTCTACTACAAGTCACGGGTCTCTCTTCACTATGTCTACTACAAGTCACGGGTCACTCTTCACTATGTCTACTACAAGTCACGGGTCTCTCTTCACTATGTCTACTACAAGTCACGGGTATCTCACTGTGTCACTATGTCTACTACAAGTCACGGGTACTTCACTATGTCTACTACAAGTCACGGGTCACTCTTCACTATGTCTACTACAAGTCACGGGTATCTTCACTATGTCTACTACAAGTCACGGGTCTCTCTTCACTATGTCTACTACAAGTCACGGGTCTCTCTTCACTATGTCTACTACAAGTCACGGGTCTCTCTTCACTATGTCTACTACAAGTCACGGGTCTCTCTTCACTATGTCTACTACAAGTCACGGGTCACTCTTCACTATGTCTACTACAAGTCACGGGTCTCTCTTCACTATGTCTACTACAAGTCACGGGTCTCTCTTCACTATGTCTACTACAAGTCACGGGTCTTCTCTTCACTATGTCTACTACAGTAAGTCACTATGGGTCACGGGTCTCTCTTCACTATGTCTACTACAAGTCACGGGTATGTCTCTTCACTATGTCTACTACAAGTCACGGGTCTCTTCACTATGTCTACTACAACGGGTCACTCTTCACATGTCTTCAGTCTATGTCTACTACAGTCTCACGGGTCTCTCTCTTCACATGTCTACTACAAGTCATGGGTCTCTCTTCACTATGTCTACTACAAGTCACGGGTACTCTTCACTATGTCTACTACAAGTCACGGGTCTCTCTTCACTATGTCTACTACAAGTCACGGGTCTCTCTTCACTATGTCTACTACAAGTCACGGGTCTCTTCACTATGTCTACTACAAGTCACGGGTATCTCTTCACTATGTCTACTACAAGTCACGGGTCTCTCTTCACTATGTCTACTACAAGTCACGGGTATCTCTTCACTATGTCTACTACAAGTCACGGGTATCTCTTCACTATGTCTACTACAAGTCACGGGTCTCTCTTCACTATGTCTACTACAAGTCACGGGTCTCTCTTCACTATGTCTACTACAAGTCACGGGTCTCTCTTCACTATGTCTACTACAAGTCATGGGTATCTTCACTATGTCTACTACAAGTCACGGGTCTCTCTTCACTATGTCTACTACAAGTCACGGGTCTCTCTTCACTATGTCTACTACAAGTCACGGGTCTCTCTTCACTATGTCTACTACAAGTCACGGGTCATCTCCACTATGTCTCAAGTCACTATGTCTACTACAAGTCACGGGTCACTCTTCACTATGTCTACTACAAGTCACGGGTCTCTCTTCACTATGTCTACTACAAGTCACGGGTCACTCTTCACTATGTCTACTACAAGTCACGGGTCTCTCTTCACTATGTCTACTACAAGTCACGGGTCTCTCTTCTCTTCACTATGTCTACTACAAGTCACGGGTATCTTCTTCACTATGTCTACTACAAGTCAATCTCATTTCACTATGTCTACTACAAGTCACTCTCTTCACTATGTCTACTACAAGTCACGGGTCTCTTCACCACTATGTCTACTACAAGTCACGGGTCTCTCTTCACTATGTCTACTACAAGTCACGGGTATCTTCACTATGTCTACTACAAGTCACGGGTCTCTCTTCACTATGTCTACTACAAGTCACTATGTCTACTACAAGTCACTCTTCACTATGTCTACTACAAGTCAGTCACGGGTCTCTTCACTATGTCTACTACAAGTCACGGGTCTCACTATGTCTACTACAAGTCACGGGTCTCTCTTCACTATGTCTACTAAGTCACGGGTCTCTCTTCACTATGTCTACTACAAGTCACGGGTATCTCTTCACTATGTCTACTACAAGTCACGGGTATCTTCACTATGTCTACTACAAGTCACGGGTCTCTCTTCACTATGTCTACTACAAGTCACGGGTCTCTCTTCACTATGTCTACTACAAGTCACGGGTCTCTCTTCACTATGTCTACTACAAGTCACGGGTCTCTCTTCACTATGTCTACTACAAGTCACGGGTATCTTCACTATGTCTACTACAAGTCACGGGTCTCTCTTACTATGTCTACTACAAGTCACTGTTTCTCTCTTCACTATGTCTACTACAAGTCACGGGTCTCTCTTCACTATGTCTACTACAAGTCACGGGTCACTCTTCACTATGTCTACTACAAGTCACTGTTTCTCTCTTCACTATGTCTACTACAAGTCACGGGTATCTTCACTATGTCTACTACAAGTCACGGGTCTCTCTTCACTATGTCTACTACAAGTCACGGGTCTCTCTTCACTATGTCTACTACAAGTCACGGGTATCTTCACTATGTCTACTACAAGTCACGGGTCTCTCTTTACTATGTCTACTACAAGTCACTGTTTCTCTCTTCACTATGTCTACTACAAGTCACGGGTATCTTCACTATGTCTACTACAAGTCACGGGTATCTCTTTACTATGTCTACTACAAGTCACTGTTTCTCTCTTCACTATGTCTACTATGTCACGGTCACGGGTCATCTTCACTATGTCTACTACAAGTCACGGGTCTCTCTTTCACTATGTCTACTACAAGTCACTGGGTCTCTCTTCACTATGTCTACTACAACTCACGGGTATCTTCACTATGTCTACTACAAGTCACGGGTCTCTCTTCACTATGTCTACTACAAGTCACTGGTCTCTCTTCACTATGTCTACTACAAGTCACGGGTATCTCACTATGTCTACTACAAGTCATTGGTCTCTCTTCACTATGTCTACTACAAGTCACTGGTCATCTCTTCACTATGTCTACTACAAGTCACGGGTCACTCTTCACTATGTCTACTACAAGTCACGGGTCATCTCTTCACTATGTCTACTACAAGTCACTGGTCTCTCTTCACTATGTCTACTACAAGTCACGGGTATCTTCACTATGTCTACTACAAGTCACGGGTCACTCTTCACTATGTCTACTACAAGTCACTGGTCATCTCTTCACTATGTCTACTACAAGTCACGGGTATCTTCACTATGTCTACTACAAGTCACGTCTGGTCTTATCTTCACTATGTCTTCACTACAAGTCACGGGTCATCTCTTCACTATGTCTACTACAAGTCACTGGTCTCTCTTCACTATGTCTACTACAAGTCACGGGTCTCTCTTCACTATGTCTACTACAAGTCACGGGTCACTCTTCACTTCTTCACTATGTCTACTACAAGTCACGGGTCACTCTTCACTTCACTATGTCACGGGTCTCTTCACAAGTCTACTACAAGTCACATCTCTTCACTCTTCACTATATCTTCACTATGTCTACAAGTCACGGGTCTGTCTTCACTATTCACTATGTCTACTACAAGTCACAAGTGTCGGGTCTCTCTTCACTATGTCTACTACAAGTCATGGTCATCTCTTCACTATGTCTACTACAAGTCACGGGTATCTTCACTATGTCTACTACAAGTCACGGTATATCTTCACTATGTCTACTACAAGTCACGGGTATCACTATGTCTACTACTATGTTCACTACAAGTCACGGGTATCTATGTTCATTATGTGTGTCTACTACTAAGTCGTGGGTCTCTCTTCACTATGTCAACTACAAGTCACGGGTCTCACTTAAATATGTCTACTACTGATCACGGGTCTCTCTTCACTATGTCTACTATAAGTCACGGGTCTCTCTTCACTATGTCTACTATAAGTGACGGGTCTCTCTTCACTATGGTGAAGCCCATTTCTGGTGTCTCTCGCTGTGATGTTGCTAGAATATTGCTAAAGCGGCGTAAAACCACACTCACTCACTCTCTTCACTATGTCTACTACAAGTCACTGGTCTCTGTCTGCTATGTGCGGCATATTGTCATATAAGTCACACAGCTAGAATATTGCTGAGTGTGGCGTTAAACAACAAACTAATCTGAAGTGCACGTTATACGACCTACGTCACTATGGATTTCAACTCTAAGCACAGTTAGCAGACATTTAACAGAAGCGCTGGTGAAATTTGAGTTAGCATAAATCCAGACTAATACTGACGGGTATTTTTCTTTTTCTTTCTTTCCTTTTTGCTTGTTTGCAGTTTAACGCCGCACTCAGCAATATCCCAGCTGGATGACAGCGGTCTGTAGACTCTGTACATAATGGAGTCTGAGACAACGAGGAGATCATTATTAATCAGATCGTCATAGTCTGTTTGCAGTCAAAACATACCGATGAATTTCACTTTAAACAAAAAAGTAAAGCAAATAAAGTGAAATTAAGATTGCGAATCCTCATAACTTTACTTTGCCAATTGAACATTAAAATCTCAGAATTTTATTCAACTTAGGATAAACGTTGTTTAACAAACGATCATGGTTTCAAATCGCTGTTATTGATTTGTATTACAAGGGGGTATGCACATTAAATGAAACCCCGAGGACAAGAAGGGTTGGTTTGTACGGTAGTCTAAGTTAACGCTCATCACGTACCGCACGTGCATTTGTTTCACTGTTCCAACTACTGCGCGTACCCCTTTGTAATACAAACCAATAATAGCGATTTGAAACTATGATCGTTTGTTTAACAACTTTTATCCTAAGTTGAATAAAATTCTGAGGTTTTAATGTTCAATTGAAAAGGTAAAATTATGAGGATTTGCAATCTTAATTTCACTTTATGTGATGTACTTGTTAGTTTAAAATGAAGTTCATCGGTACGTTTTCACTGCAAACAGACTATAGGTATAAATAATGGTAGTACAACGTTGTTAATGTAATTGTTTCATGACATCAGAACTTTATAGCCTGTAGTCAGTGAACACGGGAATTTGTCAATGTGAAAAACGTATGGTATCTTTCACCTGTATAGTTTATACCATATTTTATTTACTATTTTTGTTGTAAACTGCATTCCACAGCTATCAGCAGATTTAAATCGAGCATGTCACGAGACTTTTATTTAACTGCACTGAAACATAATACAAGCATAATAAATATACTCTAGTAGGGAGTACATTTTGAGTAGAAGATTAAATATCACTCTTTAAATTCATATGATTCACCACAGACTGATTACTATACAAAATGCTAATAGATAATATACGCCAACTACTTGTCTAATTAGCAAATATTACCTAACTGGTTGGTAAGATATACAAACACGTGTCTGAGTGGAAAGTGAAATTAGTAAACAACTACTGTATATTTATACCTACATGGACTTAAAGAAACACATATGGTCAAAATGTGCTCCAAAATTCAGAGTTGCCTCCCTTAGGAATGTCAGAAACCGATGATCGTGGGTTCCAATCGCAGTTCCAGGGGTGGTGGGGTAGGCTAGTGGTTAAAGCGTTCGCTCGTCACGCCGAAAAGCCCGGTTCGATTCCCCACATTGGTACAATGTGGGAAGCCCATTTCTGGTGTCTCCCGCCGTGATATTGCTGGAACATTGCGTAAAACATCACTCACTCCTTTGGGTTCAAGTCCATACCCTTGCCCGTGGGCATTATCCGTGTGTACCCGAGGCCAACGTCATTTTCCTCCCTCACCAAGCTGACAACTGCCTGATGTAATGAAAGCAGTGTTTATGCGATGTCAAGACGTCCAATCCGCTATATTTACAGATGTAAAACCGAACCCTGCAGAAGTATTAAAATCTCAGTGGTGTAAAACCCACGCGAAAGCACGGCTGTTATACCTTGTTATACCTGTTTAATATACACTTATGAGTGAATGAGTGAGTTTAGTTTTACGACGCACTCAACAATATTCCAGCTTTATGGTGGCGCTCTGTAAATAATCGAGTCTGGACCAGACAATCCTGTGATGAACACCATGAGGATCCATCTACGCAATTGGGATACGATGACATGTGTCAACCAAGTCAGCGATCCCTACAACCCGATCCTGTTAGTTGCCTATTACGACAAGCATGGGTTACAGAAGATCAATTCTAACCCGGATCTTCACGGGTCCAAAAACAAAGAGGAGAACGGGAGTAAGTATAGACAAATAAAAACAACACACATCAAACGAAGGTACCAAGCAAACAAAAACAAGATCAAAATAAAAAATTAACAATCATTAGACACTGCATGCATAAGGTATTCAAAATTGTAATTTATATATTGTATATGGTTCATGCGGTTGGGGAAAAAGCTTATTATTTTTCCTGTTTGATTAGATACCATCTCAATGTATCGGTAGTATTATATATTAAAACTTTTAAGCATAGTTTGATTGAATTACAAATCAAACGATAACTAAAAAAGTAGCAGATGTATTTTACAGCATACGAATATATTTCGTTTGTCACATACAAGGCCTAAATGAGAAAGATACGACTAATCTTCTCCGAAAAAATGTCCTACAAAGTCAAAATTGTGATCTTTGTTGCAGCAGAATCAGGAAACGACAGAAAGCTACAAAAATGAGACAAAACCAAATTTAGGTTGAATCAGACTTTGATCCGTGGATAATATAATACCTGAAACTGGCGCCTTCGAAAGAAATGTGTTACTAGTAAATTTAATATCAGTAATATTCAAATCTAATTATCCTAGACGGCCGAACTTCACCGATTACCCGAAGTTTATACACACTTCAACTTTATAATCAGGAAATTAGAACCGAATTTATGCCTTGATATTGCTTTGAGTTTCCTTCGCCCATCCTAGATCTTGGAAACAAGTGACAATCTGACCAAATTATTACCGTAATTGTAAGTTTTCCTAGTATCTCGTGAAGACGAACAGCGGAATCAACTCACTGGTTCTGCGCGTTGGGAAGCCGTACGATTCCCTTATTGGCCGCGCAATCGCCGCAAGTGATACACTTAATTGTTCTCGAGGGACGTCGCTTTTATAATAGACAAGTGTTTTCATATCGGCCGTCGTCATCTTCATCAAATCTCGCCTTGTGATGTCCCGATTAGAAATGAAAGCCATACAAAGAGACGATTTGATAGATTGATTTTTGAGCTAGTAGAATATCCCCTGCTAAGGTGGGTAATTAACCACATTTAAGACGTTTTTGGAGGCGAAGACTTGTAAATGGCGCGGTCTACGCACAGAACAGGAGATTAAACAGGAACTCGTCTCTTTATCAAAGTGTAATTGTTTTCAAACGATATATAAAGTCACAACGAATTCATGTTTAGATTAAATCTGCTAGTGAGCCAATATGGCCTCAGCTCAGTCCGGGGACCTGTCGCATCCGACTGTTGGTGAAAATATTCAGTCGGAATTAGATGATACCACGAAGAATTCAGATGAGGCAGAGGAACGGGATGAAAGTGTTTTAAAAAACGCCGAAAATGACCTCAGCGTTGATGTGGTGCCGAACAGTCAAAGGGAGGCAACTCCTACAAGCATGTTAAAGTTTTCAATCTCAGCATTGTTGGATCTACACGAAAGCCCAAGTCGACCGACTGTCGACGCAAGTTCCACCTCGACAGCTGGTAAGAAGATTGACGTTATTCGGTGTATTTGATGCACTTTTAAATTCTAATATTATATATATATTTCATAAGAAACAGAGAAATATGTATCTGGATGGATAAATTCATTAACATGTCATGACCAAAACGTTGCTTTTCATGTTTTGAGGCAAAAACATGAGTTTTGTATTTACAAAAAGAAAAATTATGAATTAATACCGAACGATGTGGATTTGCTTGAAAATTTTTTTCTGACAACGTCAACCGAATCGGACAAGAATTTTCATATTTATTGGGGATGTTGATAGAAACAGTTATACATACCGTTACAACTTGAGATATTCGACATGTTAAATGCATATCTAGTACAATTAAAGTATGTGTGTAAACATGAATTTTAAAATGGATTTGTCTAAATACTTCGCTGGAAACGTTCTACATTTCATTATAAATCTATGTACAGGATGAAACATTTCCAAATGTTTGTCGTTACTACAGCGATACAAGCGTGTTAGATCTCGTTATTCATCTATGTACATTGTGAAACATTTCAAAATTTTGGCTTTAATACTTCGATACAATTGTTTTTAGATTTCTAAAAATATGCATTTATGGACGTTATGAAAGGTTTCCACATTGCCTTTACCGAAATTCATAATAGTGTTCAAGTTACGACCGTGCCATTTTACTCTAACCGTTGGCGTTCAGATTGGCCTGTATAATTAACAATGAGCATGTAGACAAACAACAAGTATTGGAACGAACTGGCCATCATTGTTAACTGTCCGTGGGGGATCTCCGTTTAGGACAACCCACGACCAACTGGAACTTCGTTGCCTTCTGCGATACTAGTTAGCATCATGTATACAAATCATTATTTTATTATAACAAATGTCCAATAACGGGTGCTTATCTTAAGGACCCGTGAAGATCCGGTTTAGAATTGATCTTCCGTAACCCATGCTCGGGTAAGAGGCAACTAATGGGATCGGGTGGTCAGGCTCGCCGACTTGGTTGATACACGTCAGAATTTAGGACATGTAAACTGTGTATGTCGCCAGCTATAGCCGATGAATTCCACTACCTGTTTAAATGTGAAGCTTTTTATGAATGCAGATCCAAATTTATCCCAAATAAATAGATACAGTTCCCTAATATAATAAAGTACAAAAAATTGTTGAGTAGTAGCAATGTAAAAGAAATCAAGAACCTTGCACAATTCATCTGTACAATAGGTAAGTGTCTTCGAGTGTGATTGTATACATGAGTGCCGAATTTCTAAAGCGGATTTTATATTTAAATATTCATAATTGTTTTCAGTCACAATGTCTTAATGTCAATTATCTGTACACTATAACCGTCATCTTGTAAAGTACAAATTATTGTTATGCTTGGAAAAGTCTTCTCCTGTACCACCGTGGGTGGTTCTTTTTGTGAATAAAATGAATTGAAAATTGAAATTGATTGTCATCGTATCCCAATTGCGTAGATCGATGCTCTTGCTGTTGATCACTGGATTGTCTGGTCCAGGCTAGATTATATGCCATATAGCAGGAATATTGCTGAGTGTGACGTTAAACAACAAACAAACAATATTTCAAACTGAAACCTCGTTAACCCGGAAAATAACGTCCGGAATAAAGAATCAATGTAACACGGCAATGTGTTTGAAAAGCGTTTAAATATATTCACTAGATAGTTACTGTGGGTCTTTCGTCAAGATTATTGCACTTGCATAGCGATGAGTTTGGCTGCAGGAACGAGTGAGGACAAAGGTATGTGCCAGCGATATCGCGCTAGTCCACTGAGATTCTGCAGTTTAACATGGCATACGTTATACTGTTTCCATAGGCGGTGGGGTAGCCTTGTGGTTAAAGCGTTTGTTCGTCACGCCGAAGACCCGGGTTCGATTCCCCACATGGGTCCAGTGTGTGAAGCCCATTTCTAGTGTCCCCGCCCTGATATTGCTAAAAGCGGCTTAAAACTAAACTCACTCACTCACTGCTGTCATGAAACAAGAGTTGTGCATGTTTGTGTTGGGGCGTTGAGGTGGGATTTGGATAGATTCTCTGTGCGGTCCAGGGTTCGAACCCATGTGTGTGTGTCTGTTTGTTCATCAATACCATGCATATGTTCATGGCTTCCATCAAAGTGATATTTTGGGGTGACCTGGGTCGCTTCAGTCTTTTCACACACATTTACCTGATACATTGTAATAAAACTGAGACACTGGTTTGGAAACCAAAACATCTTCTCATAAGGATGCGTTACACAGAAACATAAGACTATTTATCATATTTTATACATTAACATATAGGAACACAGGGGCACAGCATGACGCTTTTGCAGAATTTCTGCTTTCACCTTGGCCGGGGCGTAATTGTTTTGAAATACCGAAAGCTGTTAAAACAGAGCTTAATGATAAAAGCGTTTATTATCATAGAACTAAGTACGTGCCTTTGTCGTGGAGGTTACAGTGAGTGAGTGAGTATGGTTTTACGCCGCTTTTAGCAATATTCCAGCAATATCACTGCGGGGGACACCAGAAATGGCCTTCGCACGTTGTACCCATGTGGGGAATCGAACCCGTGACTTCGGCGTGACGAGCGAACGCTTTAACCACTATAGTCTGTTTGCAGTGAAAACGTACCGATGAATTTCACTTTCATCAAAAATGTAAATCAAAAGAAGTGAAATTAAGATTGCGAATCCTCATAATTTTACCTTGCCATTTGAACATTTAAAATTCAGAATTTTTTTCAACTTAAGATAAAAGTTGTTTAACAAACGATCATAGTTTCAAATCGCTATTACTGATTTGTATTACAAAGGGGTAAGCGCAGTAGTTGGAACAGTGAAACAAATGCACCTGCGGTACGTGATGAGCGTTAACTTAGACTACCGTACAGACCAACTCTTCTTGTTCTCGGTGTTTCATTTAATGTGCATACCCCCGTGTAATACAAACCAATAATAACGATTTGAAACTATGATCGTTTGTTAAACAACTTTTATCCTAAGTTGAATGGAATTCTCAGATTTAAACGTTCAAATGGCAAGGTAAAATTATGAGGATTCGCAATCTTAATTTCACTTTATTTGATTTACATTTTTGTTTGAATTGAAATTCATGGGTACATTTTCACTGCAAACAGACTATACGCCACTCCAAAGCCCCTGGAGGTTACAGTTTACACAGATAACACCGTATATGCTAACTACGTATGTATACATGTATGTTTAACTACTGTTATAACAGTGAGTGAGTTTAGTTTTACGTCGCACTCAACAATATTCCAGCTATATGGCGGCCGTGTGTAAAAGAATTGATTGCATGAGCATCGATCTGCGCAATTTGGAACTGATGACACGTGGGAACCGAACCCGTTAGTCGCCTCTTACGACAAGCATGGGTTACTGAAGATCGATTCTATCCCGGATCTTCACGGGTCATAAAATTGGGAACATTGTCTCTCTGCATTAGGGATATTTTGTTATCTGTTATCATGGTCCACGTCAATGTCACTATTCTATATCTTCTCGGGTATACTGTTATAACAAGCTGAGAGGACAACTAATTTTAGTTGGTTTTAAATGTATGTCGTTATATGCATTTCGACTGAAATATTCAGCAACTAACGGGGACTAAACGGTTATTCGTTACATCCACCACTTCGTCATAAGCGTGTTTGTAATGAACGTAGTGTACTGACTGTGTGACATCGGTGAACGGGTGTGATAAGATAATAGGGGTGGGTATTGCAGAGAATGTTGATATATTGTGACATGCAGTGAACGAAGGTGTGATAAGATAATGTGAACAGTCGGGAAATACAATGTCAAGTTTTGTTTGTTTTTAACGCTGTACGCTGTAATCAGGATCAGACGATCCAGTGATCAACCGCATGGGTTACGATATGTGTCAACCAATCAGTAGAGACTTGGGTTACGAAGACCAAATCTAAGGGTTAACAACACAACTATAGTCACATGGAAATGACACTGGAACACAGTACAATTCGAGGAGTGGTGGGGTAGTCTAGAGGTTAAAGCGTCCGCTCGTCACGCCGAAGACCCGGGTTCGATTCCCCACATGGGTACAATGTGTGAAGCCCATTTCTGGTGTCCCATGCCGTGATATTGCTGGAATATTGCTAAAAGCGGCGAAAACCATACTCACTCACTCACTCAGTAAAATTAGAAACAGTCACTTCTTGTTTTGACAGCAATGTACTTTTCGGATGGTTACGAAATGTATACACGAGGCCATCTAAATAAGTGGAAAGTGTAGCCAAAGTATTTGGAAACTATCTATTCTGATACATACACCAAGGGCACGGCAGATAACATTCAGAAGGATACAAGAGCTACAGTTTTACAGCTAAACCTACTCACATTTAAATATGATCAAAATGAGTATTTATAAAGCGCTGTATCCATCCACAAGGTGCATGCAGGCTCAAAGCGCAAATATAACCAAGTGCTCACTAAAAAGGTATAAATAAAACAGGTGATCTTACAATTCTTAGGCTCAACTGTTCACAGAGTATACCGGCTTTTTAGACGACTGAGCCAGGTTACGGTGCAGTTTGACATTTGCGTAAATCCTCCTGTAGCAGAATAATTCTACATTCTTCAAGCTAAACCTACTCTCGTTTAAATACAGCCAAGAACTCACTAAAAAAGGTATAAATAAAACAAGTGATCTTACAATTCTTAGAGAAATACTGGATGGTTAAATTTCGAAGTTTCACTTCGCATGAAACGTATGCCAGCTTGGAAACCCAAACACTGATTATATCACATGACTGTATAAGGCTACCACTTCAGTAGGTGCCTCGTGCATTTACAAAGTTTGATGAAAATATAACAGTTTCTAAATTCAGAAAGTCCATATTTATTGCTTGGAAGCGAAAACTTTGAAAATATAAATAGGACAAGGTACCATGTTGTCGTTTAGGCAAACTGTAATGTCAGTCCCGGAAACAAATCTTCTCATGTGTAAACATATAAAAATCACGACTATTGAATAGCACTTTTGACATTCACTGTTCTGTTTTCGAGCTATGCTCCCTTTGCGAAAGCAGTGTTTTTCTTTAACCGACTGCAACTATCAATAAACGCCGGGTCAACCAAGACAATGAAAAAAGACCCAGGATAGACATTTGAAACAATGTTCGAAAAAACGAAATCAAACAAAACAACGTCAGCGTCTAATAAACGTCAGATCGGGAACCGCCGATAACACTTTTTAGGAATTTATGGTGTATACAACTGGAAAACATGGCGCCAAAGTGCCTACGAGAAACGAAAAAAAAACTGCGTCGCAAGGCACAACATCTACATTACAATAGTTCCTTATTGATTTGGTGGTGTGTGTTCCTGTGCATAAAACACAAATCAGGTGTATAGTTAAGCAACGTTGGGCTCGGAGAGTTCATGGATGGGTGACCGTGTTTGCCAGCTTGACTACTGGGAGTATCTACGACTTGTCTATGTAGTCCTGCCCCACAACGAAGCACATAGGATAGGCAAGTGAGTTTGTTCAAAATTGCCTGTGTTCACCCAGCAGATAATGGGTACCCGGTGGAATAAATCATGTGACTTTAAATTTCTAGCACCTCACAGCTTGGGTTATCAGGGGTAATAATGAACTGTCAGCTATGAGCATGCTGTCGATGTGGATTTAGCGCAATATAAATGGACTAATTATTATAAATGATAGAATTATAAAATGATTATGATTTACCCTGTGATTGAGTGAGTTAGCTTCAGCGACACTTTGAAGAATATACAGGTTATATCACGGTGTGCCAGCCTAATGCAGGAGAAACAGCTGCATTAATGTAGGTCTATGACGTTTACACACGAGAACGCTTCTAGTGTTGACAAACGTGGAACAGCGAACCTCGATTCAAATCGACATGACAGGTTCCATCCGTGCCAAACAGACTCAGCTCTACACAGACTATTACGGCATCGTAGAGAACTACAAAAATAATATACTAGAAGGTTACAGTACAATTAAGAAAGACTGCATTGTAATCTACTGTTTCCGGAATTTTGTGTAATATCTGATTATTCCGACAATAACACGGCGGGGGACACCAGAAATTGGCTTCACACATTGAATCCATGTGGGGAATTGAATCCGGGTCTTCAGCCTGACGAAAGAACGCTTAAACCACTGGGCTACACCATCTGAGTGGGTTAGGTCGCCGATTTGGTGTGCTTGCGATAGATGCAATATTCTGAGAGTGCGGGTTCGAATCCCTGATAGCCCTCAACCCAACAAAAGTACCAGAATGTGTAAAGAAAGTGTAATGCCAAATATGTAATGCTACTTTGATAACTTTGTACCAGATAAACCGTTTCTATTATTGCTACAAGTATCATTTATGTGTTGATGTTCATGTGTATTGGGGCAGTGGGGTGGCCTAGTGGTTAAAGCGTTCGCACGTCACGCCGAAGACCCGGGTTCGATTCTCCACATGGGTACAATGTGTGAAGCCCATTTCTGGTGTCCCCCGCCGTGATACTGCTGAATATTGCAAAAAGTGGCGTAAAATTACACTCGTGTGTATACATACGCTTCACTTTTTGAGAAACATACCATGGTAGAATCCCCGAGAAGTTCAGTGATACCAAACGGTCCCGAAGAAATTTGAAGCCAAGGCGTTACACAGAGTAACGGTAGTTTACCTTGTTTGTCTACTTCCGGCTTGTCGCCCACATTAAGCACATTTTGAATTTTAGAACATCAAATCTAAACCTTCCGATCGAAACCGGCAGAACATACCGAGAGAAGAAAGATTGTGTAAACTATGTAACTATAATTTAATTCGTGACGAATTCCATTATCTTTTTAAATGTACATCACTTAATTCTTTCAGGAAAACATTCATACCCCAAAATATCACGATTGGGCAAATTTATCAACTCTCAACAAAGTCATGTCGCCTGTCAATTTTAAACTTAGCAAGTGTTTATCACTCTTTATCTGTCACTTGTATAAATTGTTACGTAAATAACTCATCATCATGACGCATGTTTGTTTTGTATGTACATTTGTAAATATTGTATATTCTTTGCTCTTGTACCACCGATGGTGGTTTTATGAGAATATAGAAGTTGAACTTGAAGTTGAAGCTGACACATCGTGATAAAAGGCGGCATTAAACCCAACTCACTCACTCACTCTTCAGAAACCACGTGCCCCGCCCTCCCTGTCAACAAGGAGCGTTTCAGTGACAAGATTTGCGGCAAGGGCAAACGGAACAGGACGACGTTTTCGACGCGGCAGCTGCAGGAGCTGGAGAGGGCGTTCAGGAAGACGCACTACCCCGACATCTTCACCCGGGAGAAGCTGGCTTCCCGCATCAAGCTTCCCGAGTCCAGAATACAGGTAGGGAGAAGTCATCGTAAGGGACTCTTCTTGTAATGAAGTCTGAACGGAGGAGTCTCCCGCCGTGATATTGCTGGAATATTGCGAAAAGCGGCGTAAAACTAAACTCACTCACTCACTGAACGGAGGGACCATTACAGCACCCCACCCTCATCCACCCTCACACACACCTCCTAAATCCCCACCCCTCAAATTATGAATATTGGCATATTTTTACCTTCCCTGATCGAAAGGGTTACCTGCGTATCGAGACGCTCGTATAATTGTTTAGATATGTGTGTTTACCTGCTTGTCGAAATTCCACAATCTACAATATTTATGTGCGTATTCCTGCAAATCAAAATTCCCAACTCTGAAATACTAACGTCGGTTTACGTATGAAAAAAAGCTGCTGATGTGGGTTAACCTTCGTATCGAAATTCTACAATATTGAAATAATGTGGGTTAACTTTCGTATCGAAATTCTACAAAACTAATATAATAATATAATGGGTTAACCTGCGTATCGAAATTCTACTAATATAATATAATAATGTGGGTTAACCTGCGTATCGAAATTCTACAATACTAATATAATGTGGGTTAACCTGCGTATCGAAATTCTACAATACTAATATAATGTGGGTTAACCTGCGTATCGAAATTCTACAAAACTAATATAATGTGGGTTAACCTGCGTATCGAAATTCTACAAAACTAATATAATGTGGGTTAACCTGCGTATCGAAATTCCATATTCTACGCTACTAGTATAATTCCCATTACTTAAGCTGACTTTCCTGTGTGTTGCACATTCCGAATCAACAATAACGTCTCCGACTCTGGAAAATAAATGGTCAGCACAAAATATACGTCCGCTGACCTGGTCATCACTCATTAAGCTTGGGTGAAATCACACCACACACACGCACACACACACACGTGCACGCAGACACATACGCGTGCACACACGCACACACGAACCACATACATACATATGAGGGATGTTTGATAAAATCTATAGAAATATTTGAAACTCTTTCAGGTATGGTTTCAAAATCGCCGTGCGAAGTGGAGAAAGAAAGAAAAACAATGTCAAACGCTGTCCCTTGCCGGGTATGGAGTTACCTGCCCTTTGTCCTGGCCGACCCAGTCACAAGCCGCCGCCATACATCTGGTAAGAAACTGACGTCAACCTTGACCTTTATGCTAGCAAACTATACAAGGCCAGTTTAAGATTATAGATAAACATTATAGATATAGAAAATTCCAGATTCAGCTAAATGTGTGAGGGACGCCCGATGTGCATGCTGTAGATGTTTTCCATTTCAGCGAAAGCCACATTTATGTTGCCGACAAGAAAGAAAGATTATATGCGGATTGAATTCGAACTGAATGCCATCATAGTTTGGGAGCTAAGGGACGCAACTCTTAGGTCCCTAAGTGACCCATTCCACGTATATGTTTAGGTTCACACACCCATCACCGGGATTGGGCTAGGGTCATGATTACTTTATATGATTATACTTTCAGTTATCACAGGACGTGGATATCCTCAACAGCAAAAGTATCTTCCTGCATGTTTTTATTTATCATAGACTGGAATTTTCAATAACATGAAAATCATCTATTTATTTGCTTTGAAGATTAACATATATCTGTTTATTAAAAGGAAGACTGGTTAAATGGTTATACTATTATAACAGACAAAGTCATGCAATTTCTATCCGGTCCCCTTTGCCAGAATGTGTGTTATTTGTCGCTAGGTTGCAAGTTTGGATATGTTTCCCCCTTCCTTGCGTATATAATCTGGGTGTGATTTCTGTTGAACGCTAACGCTCACGTTAAGACGACGTTGCTCGCATAGGTGACGCAGACGCTTGATGCGCCGAAAATCGCCATGGAGAATTACGTTCAAGGCAAGAATCCTGGATTAGCCCAGATTCTCCTTGATTTCGTACCTTGGTTTATCCGCGCCACACCCATGGCGGCTCTTTTGTTTGAAGTGGGGCGGTGGGGCAGCTTGGTAGTTAAAGCGTTCGCTCGTCACGCCGAAAACCGGGTTCGATTCCCACATGGGCACATGTGTGAAGCCCATTTCTGGTGTCCCCCCACCTTGATATTGCTGGGATATTGCTAAAAGCTTCGTAAAGCCGGGTCTTTGGCGAGGGTACACCATCGCTCTTATTCTCATAAATCATACAAAATGATATAGAGAACATACATATATTTTGATGGCATACAAAGTGCCATTATGACTAATACACACTAGAGAAATATTTTTTTCAATATGAGGGTTATTAAAATAATAACAAGTGTTTGCCACTGATGTGGCAATGTCCCCCGCCGCTAAAGAATCGAATATCTATATTTACTACTTTTTATTTTTGGGTCACATACAAGATGCCTGAAATGACTGGTGTCTGCATAATCACCCAATGTAGGCTGTCAACATACTTGAAAACATTGGGTGCAATGTTTTATGAGATATCGCCTTTAAAAAGCGGTCAAAGTATCGTGGTGACCTTGAAGATAAGGTCAAGGTCACCCAAATAAACTGGTGTCTGTGTAATACCCCAATGTAAACTGTCACCAAATTTGATGACATTGGGTACAACAGTCCATGAGATATCGCGTTAACAAGAGTTAAAAGTGTGAAAAGTGTCGTGGTGACCTTGAAAATAAGGTCAAGGTCACCCAAAATCAACTGGTGTCTGCGTAATCCCCCAATGTAGGCTGTCACCAAATTTGAAGACATTGGGTACAACAGTCGATGAGATGCTGTGTTAAGAAGAGTTTATAAAGTGTTCAAAGTGTCGTGGTGACCTTGAAAATAAGGTCAAGGTCACCTAAATACAGTGGTGTCTGCGTAATCCCCCAATGTAGGCTGTCACCAAATTTGAAGACACTGGGTACAACAGTGCATGAGATATCACGTTAACAACAGTTTGAAAAGTGGTCAGTGTCGTGGTGACCTTGAAAATAAGGTCAAGGTCACCCAAATCGGCTGGTGTCTTTGTAATCCCCTAATGTAGGCTGTCACCAAATTTGAAGACATTGGGTACAACAGTTCATGAGATATCGCGTTAACAAGAGTTAAAAGTGTGAAAAGTGTCGTGGTGACCTTGAAAATAAGGTCAAGGTCACTTAAATCAACTGGTGTCTGCGTAATCCCCCAATGTAGGCTGTCACCAAATTTGAAGACATTGGGTACAACATTTCATGAGATATCGCGTTAACAAGAGTTTGAAAAGTGGTCAAAGTGTGGTGGTGACCTTGAAAATAAGGTCAAGGTCACTGGTGTCTCCAATTCGACTGGTGTCTGAAGACATTGGGCGCAACAGTTCATTAGATATCGCGTTAACAAGAATCGGGACGTACGTACGGACGTACGTCGTACGGACGTACGGACGCCGCTGAATACATAGTCCCCCGTTCCGCGTTGCGGCGGGGGACAACTAGGGAATGTATTCTTTCTTACATCATCAAGAGTTGTAAATGATGCAGGGGAGATATATCAAACCAGCTGGTATATAGCTGGAATATTGCTAACAGCGGCGTAAATCTAAACCCAGTCATTCACCCCTACATGAGGTCGAAATTAAAACAAGAGGTATCTTATTTACCTCAAATTTAAACAAATACTAGCGACAAAAATCTTTCTACATTCACAAGGAATATATTCTAAAAGCAGAATCGATTTTTCAATTCCAACTTTATTATAAGCCATTAATATTTAAAGCCATTTACTCTTCTGTAAAGCCGTTTATCATTTTGTCAAGCTATTTGTTATTTTATAAAGCCGTTCATCAATTGACATAAATTACTCGTAATATTAGCTTGAGCCGTAAAATTATGTATCACTTACCAAAATGACATAAATATGCAAACTAGATGACCGAAAATTACATTCATGCACTTGATGTTTACAAGAGATACTCCTCACAAAAAGTTAAGCAACACAAATTTGTAGTCTCATTACATTTTCATTTCTTGAAATTGGAAATCATGGAATGATGCAATAGAAAGGTGAAACATATATACACACGATTAACGAAATGAAATGAAATGCTATTGAGCAATAATAGTCTAACAAGTCATCAAAAGCATGTACCCGTGAAACAGTCGTGCAAAATGTGCTGCATTGATGGAGCAAAATGTTAACATTAAGGTTCAAGTCAGTTTTGGACAGTGAAGCAGTGTTCAGGAACGCGTATGACCACCATGAGCACAAATGCAAGCTTCTACACGTCTTTGCATTGATCAAATGAGCCTTTAAAGTTGCTGTTGTGGAATATTCTGCCATTCTCTCTGTAACGCCTGCTCAAGGTCATCCAGAGTCTGGGGTGAACATTGAGACCGTAAACACGACTTCCAATAATGTCCCAAGCATGTTCAATGGGATTAAGATCAAGTGACCTTGCAGGTCAGTCCATATGTGTGATGTTGTTGATCTAAACAACATCGTTAACAACTCTTTCTCGGGGCATTATCATCCATTGACGGGCATTACCATCCATAAAAATGAAGTTATGACCCGCTTGTTGTACCAGAGGAATGATTACAGGTAGGTTTACACCGATCAGGGTGCATGTGTGAAGAGTGGAGCACATTCATGCCACACATTTTGCATGTTGTTTCTGAGGGTGGTTGAGTTCGAGTGATGTTGTCAATGTTATCAGATAACTCAATTTGACAGTCACTAAAGGTTATGTATTCTTTGAATATTTACCTTTCAGTAACATGTCGGCAAAAATCGCTATCGAGATTGATAAAAATATTACACTGAAAATACTTGTTGCTTAATTCTTTTGTGAGGAGTATATATAGATTACTTTGATGTTAGAGACAATGATTTGATAGTTAAAATCAATCTCTGGTATTTAGAAGCCAGAACGGTGATTAGCGTAGTAGAAAGTTCAACAGACGCAACCTACTGGAAGGTACCGCCAGATGCTCATCTTGACATCACTCAAGGGGGTAAGTGATCTGGTTTTAATGAGATTGGATCCAAATGAGGGAGTTTTAGTCTTCACCAATATCACTGTTATCAAAATAAATGTGGATTAAATGTTACATATCGATGGCATCTAGAATGATAAGGTCTCAATGACAGCCATAGCTGGTATATTGTACACTTAACGTAATCAACTACATTATCGTTGACGTTCAAACATATTACGTGTAGGCACGTGCTTTTGACAAATTAAGACTCGGATGGTTATTGTTTGTTCGTTGTTTAACGCCGCACTCAGCAATATTCCAGCTATATGGCGGTGGTCTAAATATAATCGAGTCTGGACCAGACAATTCAGTGATCAACATCATGAGCATCGATCTACCCAATTGGGATACGATGACATGTGTCAACCAAATCAACGAGCCTGACCACCCGATCCCGTTAGTCGCCTCTACGACAAGTACGGGTTACTGAAGACCAATTCTAACCCGTATCTTCACGGGTCGGATGATTAAGCCCATGTGGAACTAACATAATCCATATAATTGAATGACTAAAAAAACAAATTTTCAGTTATAACTACACCACTTTCGTTAGTTTATGTATATGTTTCTGAGGGAAAAAACGAAGGAAAATTTAATCACGATCAGTTGAGTATTAAACAACGCTATGTACAAGCTGCCACAGTTTATGTCATTAGTTGTTCAGCGTGTTCCGATCTTTGCAATCAATAGTATTGCTGGAATTAGCCTTATCATCTGGGAATGAAAGATTTTTAACGCCGCACTTAGCAATATTCCAGCTGTAAGATGGAGGTCTGTATACAACTAAATCTGAATCATGAACATCGTTGTACGCACTGGGCTGCAATGACCTACATCAGGGAACCTGACCACCCGATCCCGTTAGGTGTTTCTCACGACCAGCATGGTTGCTGAAGACAAATTCTTCACTGGTTATTTTAGACCAGTCAATCCAGTGATTGACATCATGAGTATCGATCTACGCAACTAGGATACGATGACATGCATTAACTAAGTGAGCGAGCCTGACCACCCGATGTAGCCCGGATCTTCACGGTTCGGTTTTATCCCCGCGGCGTTGTACCAAAAGGCGTTAGAATTGGATACTTCTTGTTACCCTGCATGCTGCTCAGCATTTAAGAGGTGAGGTGAGGTGAAATTGGGTTTAACGTCGTGCTTGAGAATATACTGCGTGTGTATGTGTATGTGCGGCTGCTTGTACTAGACTTAAGCTGGGTTTTAGTGCTAGCCCACTGAGATACCATGCCGCAGTGAAGCATGAATACCCCACCTTTCAGACACATTATACCTACTCCGAGCCGACCAGTCCTTGTTGTGCCCATTTATGCTGAGCGCATGGCAGGGACCAACAAGTACCATATTTTAACGTCTTTTGGTATGACGCGGTCGGGGATCGAACCCGCGACCTTCCGCTCTCCGGGCGGACGCTCTAAGCACTACACCGCGGAGGCGGTCCGGCATTTAAGAGGATAGAACAAGGACGAGTTGCCTCGGAGTGACCATGTTCAAACTGCGGCATGGTACCGCATCTAGGTACAAACCCAGCAACACACACACGAACGCACGCGCACACACGCGCGCTCTATAACTGTGATAGTCTTGAACGCAACCTTAAACTCCTGTCGTACTATTGTAGTTCTACGTGCTCTGCGCCAATGCGACGGCCAGTTGGTTGAAGCGCTCTATAAAGTGAAGACTGGGTACCGTGCCCCGGACATCACATTCCTCGGCTTCAAATAGTTTGTTTCATTTAATAGTTTGTTTCTCTGAACTGTTTCCTTGTCCCATAGTCGACTGCACGTGGGTGTGTGGGTGTCATATTATATTCACACCAGTGAGTGAGTGAGTAAGTGAGTTGGGTTTTACGTCGCTTTTAGCTATATTCCAGCAATATCACGGCGGGGACACCAGAAATTGGCTTCACACATTGTACCCATGTGTGGAATCGAACCCGTGTCTTCGGCGTGACGAGCGAACGACTTAACCACTACGTTACCTCCCCGCCCTATATTCACACCATGCCGACATTTGTCACATAAATGGAGATACGGTTGATTTGCATGCATAAGATAAAAGCCAATTGAAGCAAAGAGGCTGTTATTGGACTGGATGATAATAATTATGACAAGTTTAAAGATAACCTTGACGTCAGTTTCTAATATAATCATAGGTGAGGTGAAATGGGGTGTAACGTGTAACGAATATATCGCTCATATGACGACGTGCATGCGTGTGCATGTGCGGCTGCTTGTACTAGCCCAAACGTAAGCTGGTTTTATAGTGCTAGCTCACTGAGATACCATGCCGCAGTTAAGCATGAATACCCCACTCAGACACATTATACTGACTCCGAGCCGACTAGTCCTTGTTGTACCCATTAATGCTGAGCGCCAGGCAGGGACCAACAAGTACCATATTTTAACGTCTTTTGGTGTGACGCGGTCGGGGGCTACATTTGAACAATAACAGTACGTACATACAGTAGCTGGTCATAAGTGAGTCATCATTAGTGAAATTTCCATGTTATTTAACTGTTGCAAGAATAATTTTCATAAATTGAGTAGAAGTCATTTTATTTTATATTTTGCAAACATCTTGAAATCATCTTCAATTACGTGTACTCAATTTTCTTTCATCTTTCGGTTGATTAGTTATAGAATGACACCTGATTAAGCACCATAAGTACAACTTAATATGAATCTATCCCATAGACAGCCATGTTAAACCTGATTAGTATGTCTAATTTGTCCTTGTTGTACCCATTAATGCTGAGCGCCAGACAGGGACCAACAAGTACCATAGTTTAACGTCATTTGGTATGACGCGGCCGGTGATCGAACCCGCGACTGTCCGTTCTCCGGGCGGACGCTCTAACCACTGCACCACGGAGGTGGTTCTAATATAATTATAAAAACGAGACCAAGAAAATGTTACGCATAATGCTTTAGACATATTTGATAGAATATGAGTTGTTTTTCGTGTGCAGTAAATGTCTTGTACAGACAAACATACATCGTTATTCTATAAAAAACGTAAGCAAACTATACTGCGTTATTTCAGGCGTCTGTTGCAGCTGCAGGAATGGTTATTTGTATATAGCTGAGGAGGGGGAAGGATATGGGAACCCATTAGGGAAATAAGTTTAATGACATGAAAGATTTCTGTGTCTAGCCATTCAGTCAAAGTTATCACATTACATTTCTCCGAAAACACGAGTTGCTGTTACAAGAATAATAAAAAATGAAAAGTGATATCAGATATCAAATAATACGAGCAAACTGTGGTTGCGTTAAAGTGAGTGACTGGGCCAGTGTAGTATAGTGAGTGAGGTGAGTTTTACGCCGCTTTTAGCATTATTCCAGCAATGGGCTTCACACATTATACCAATGTGGGGACTCAAACTCGGGTCTTCAGTGTGACGAGCGAACGCTTTAACTACTATGCTACCTCACTGTCCTAGTTGGTCAGATCGCCTCAATGGTGTAGTGGTTAGAGCGTCCGCCCGGTCGCGGGTTCGATCCCCGACCGCGTCATACCAAGAGACGTTAAAAGATGGTACTTGTTGGTCCCTGCCTGGCGCTCGGCATTAATGGGTACAACAAGGACTGGGCGGCTCGGAGTCAGTATAATGTGTCTGAGTGGGGTATTCATGCTTCACTGCGGCATGGTATCTCAGTGGGCTGGCACTATAAAAAACCCAGCTTAAGTCTTGACTAGTACAAGCAGCAGCACATACACATACACACGCATGCACGTCGTCATATGAGCGAAATATTCTCAAGCACGACGTTAAACCCAATTTCACCTCACCGTCCTAGTTGGTCATAAAGTCTGAAAAACACAAACAATCAAGTGTGTGAAGCCCATTTCTCGTGTCCCCCGCCATGATGTTGCTGGAATATTGCTAAAAGCGACGTAGAACCCCAATTCACTCGCCCACTCACTCAAACAATCATTGGCAGGAAGTAACGTGATCACAACGATCGCACGTGCATTTCACTGTAAGCACACAGGCATTGCAAAAAACGCATGCCAATTGCAGTGTTGCCGCAGTTGCACGAACTCTGTGTTGTAGTCGTCAGACAATACGCTGTCTGAGGACCCGTGGATAACAGATGGCCACCATAGCAGATCGCCCAAGGCCTGGTGTGCCGCGTGTGATGTCACACCAAGATGACGTACTAATCAGGTTATGCCATCACGTTACTGCAACCTCCACAAATAGGCAGGTGTGTTCAGAGGTTGAGTGTCAACACAGATCATCAGAAATCGAATGCACCCATCAGGTACACGAGTGAGTGAGTGCGTTTGGTTTTACGCCGCTTTTGGCAATATTCCAGCAATATCACGGCGGGGGGCACCAGGAATGGGCTTCACATATTGCACCCATGTGAGGAATCGAACCCGGTTCTTCAGCGTGACGAGCGAACGCTTTTACCACTAGGCTACCCCACCGCCCTCAGGTACACGAGGTAGAACACACGCAGAATCTATCCTGAAGCAATTTCATCGTGTTCCAGTTGGGTCCGCTGACATGTCCGATTCAACCAGGTTGTCTTTAGTGACGATACCGCTTCACATTGCCAGATGCCGATGCTGATGGCTTTCCCATTCCCACAACCTGAACCCGATCAAACACATTTGGGATGCGATGGAAGGACGAATACGAAAGCAGATGAATCAGCCCCAGACATTGCAAGAACCTGGTCAAGCATTCGTTGACCATAAGTGAAGACTTCCCCTGTGTGTGTGTGTGTCCGTCCGTGCGTTTACGTGCGTGTTTGCTACTGCTGGTTTTATACCAAGTTTATTTAGGAACTATACCGCAGTTTTATCCCAGTAATGTCGAGCACCAGCCACGGTAACAACAAGTATCGTTTGGTACAACACGGCCGGGATCGAATCACCTACCCGCGAAGATCCGGGCTAGATCGGGTGGTCAGGCTCGCTGACTTAGTTGACACATGTCATCGAATCGTAGATTGATACTCATGCTGTTGATCACTGGATTGTTTTGTCATGCTGTCAGTAACTGGATTGCCAGACCAAGACTCGATTACATACATACCGCCGCCATATAGCTGGAATAATCAACAGGTACACAGAGCGGAGTTCAACAACAGACCCAGATTGGTGATATTACTCCTACTATTGATTCCAGAGCCCGGAACACGCCTCTGAGTGGGCTCTCACAATGGTATAGCAAACAGTGACGGCGTGTTACCTCAGTAGTGAGGTTATGTACTGGTGTTGCACAAAGGCAAGTAGTTGTTCAAGTAGATCATGGCGTTTGAGTATCATAGACAATACTGCGATACTGAGGCCCGTTCTTGAATAATCTAGGATTTTGGAGAAGGACGAGTGGGTGGGGGTCAGATGTGGTGGGGATGGGGTATGTGTGCACATAAATCATGAAGTCCAAAGCTTAGGGGATATACTCGTCAGGAATTTTTTTTCGGGGGAGAGGGGTTGGGGGTGCGCACCCCCTCAGTGGATCCGCCCCTGTAATAGTAATTAATCATCTTGTAGTTTCTTTTTGCCTGTTTTTTAAACAAGGCGTGAAAACCGGACTCCCGGTTTTGTTCATTTAACGCAGTTTTAATGGCTGGCTTGGTTTGAGAAAGGCATGATATTCAAATTCATGGGGAAAAACCAATAGCAGTATCTGACCCGTCCCTTTTTAGATTCCCGGCCCAGTGCCTTTTTAAAACGTCACCTCTACACCCCACCCATTATACTTCTACTGAAAATATCACCAGGTTGTGAGATGTCGAATTGTACAGAACCGTCAAATTGCTTGTGGTATTTTCTTTGCAGAATAAATGTAACTGAAAACCAATGTGAATGTCATTCAATGAAGGTCAAGGTCGTTAAAGTGAACGTGACAAGCTCAAAATGAAATGAAAGTTTCTAAAGTGTTTAAATTGTGTAAAAGCCTGTCAACGACATTTATCTATGAATCGTCGCGTTGTCAATTTCACAAACCATGTCACGCGACGAGTGACAAGCCAGAGATCATATACCTGGGAATTTCTGCCATTTCCACGTCTAAATGCTACATTTCATGGCATGTTTGATTCATCGAGGGAACATGAGCCGTTATTGGAAACGATATCATATGGCAGGTTCATTTGCCCATTTCACTGCTCCTACAACAAAGGCTTCCCGTGGACCTTGTGAGCACTCCCCGACCCATAATGGCTACTCATCAGGTTAAAATGTTCTTGTTTTTCATTAGCATAAATGTCACGATAGTCCTTTGGTGTATGCTATACAGGTTATTGGGAATTGGATTTCGAAAGATCGGCCTTGAAGGATTGAACTTATTCTGTTCATTAGACGGCTAATTAACATGGATCATTATGACGAGGTCACGTGGTTGTTGCTGTTGATTCTGATTCTGGCCATTGTCAACAAAATGTAAGGTGAGGTGAAATGGGGTTTAACGTCGTACTTAAGAATATTTCGTTCATATGTGTGTATGTGTGGCTGCTTGAACTAGCCCAGACTTAAGTTGGTTTTATAGTGCTAGCTCATTGAGATACCATGCTGCAGTTTAGCACGAATACCCCACTCAGACACATTATACTGATTCCGAGCCGACCAGTCCTTGTTGTACCCATTAATGCCGAGCGCCAGGCAGGGACCAACAAGTACCACATTTTAACGTCTTTTGGTATGACGCGGTCGGGGATCGAACCCGCGACCTTCCGCTATCCGGGCGGACGCTCTTACCACTACACCACGGAGGCGGTTCAGCAAAATGTAGACTTCTGTTAGTGGCATTTAGAAGCTGGTATGATGAACAGGAACGATCTTTTATGGATAGACAAACTTCTTTATTGCAATGGATGCGACGTTTCGGTGTAGATGCTGAAACAAGCAAGCATCCATTGCAATAAAGAAGTTGTCTATCCACAACAAATCGTTCTTGTTCAACAAAAAGTAAAGATGTAAAAATGATACAACGGTAGGCCATTGTGGAGACATTAAACAACAAACATCGGAGAAAACCAACCAATGAATTGGTTACAGAATGCTACGTGGAACAACTGTTTAGTGGTGATCTGAGGTATCTGCGGCTGTGATTCCGCTCCATCGATGTAGCTACAAGACCCCTGTGATATGTTATTACTTGTTTACGTATGTTGTATTAATTAAATAAAAGAATGTAAATTAAAACAAAGAACCTTTGAACGAGTCTTTACCGAACTAGAAGACATGATATGCTGTAGATGTCCGTTACCAAGTCGTGACCTGCTCGTTGCATGTCGTTGGAAATTAGGCTGTACGTTCCCGCAGCCTGTCTTGCGATGGTGACTTACGTCGTTTTGGAACCGTTGCCTTGATTACGTGCTGGTGGCTGTAACCGTTACCAGTGACAAGACGTTCAGCAATCGAGGTCTGTGTAACCGCTGTTTGTCTGTACGTAACTGCTGATTTGGTAACCGTTGCCTTGACTTTAGTTGCGTAGACCGCTGCTATACGTTACAGTGACAAGACGTTCAGCAATCGAGGCTAGACTGTACGTTACCGCTGTTTTGTCTGTACGTAACTGCTGATTTGTCCTTACGTAACCGTTGCCTTGACTTTACGTTGCTGGTGGTACACTGTACGCAACTGACAGTAGAGGCTGTACGTAACCGCGAGAAGACGTTCAGCAATCGAGGCTAGACTGTACGTAACCACTGTTTTGCCGTTCTCAGCAATGTGACGCCGATCTCTCTGTACGTAACCGATGGTAAACTGTACGACACCGCGACGGTAGGATATACGTAACATTTGATAGAATGTAGGTAACTTACGATAGACTTACGTAGCCGACAGTAGACTGTATGTATTCGTTGTTGAAAGGCTGTCAGCAACAGATGGTAAACTGTCCGGATCTTTTTGTAGACTGTGTAAAATCTAGGCGTAAATTTGTAGGTGAGTTTTCAAAGTATGAAACAGTCGGAGTCAATCTAACCTCCACCCTAAACTCATGATAAATGCCTTTCACACATACCATACATCGATACAATTCAGCCATCATATCCAACAGTCCAGTTAATTTACAATTTAAAAAACTAAAAGTCTACGGTAAACAAGGAGAGTACGGCCGTCAATGGAAATAAATTTAGCGACAAACGAAGACGGCCATTTACAATGTTTTCCTGTTGAATTGCGGGCCATGAAGGAGATATTTTATGTCAAAACAAATATTTAATTCCGCTAATCGTCAGCGACAACTCCACGATGTACCCATCATGCACTGCGGACTGCCAACACACTTTATGGGAAATCGAAAGATAATTTGTTCTCAAAGAGTTCTCCCGTCGCCATCTTGAAAATGTCAATAATCCCATCCCTTCCGTAGGAAATATTGCTGGCTTCAATCGCCCGGCCGACGGTAGTGTTGCACACGTTACTGTGTTTTGCACACGTTACCGCGTTTGACGGCGTTAAACTCCGGGCAGCGCAGGAAGTAAGCCACCAGCGTTCATACCGTCATTTCCTAATGGCCTCGAATTCACTTAATCTGATTCTTTCATCGCTCTCGCTCACTGTTGGGATTTTGTTCCAAGCGCAAACGAGAACTTTATTTCATGTCTGAATTTGACCCGCTATATTTGCCGTTTCCCCAAATACCGGGCTTTTCTATCGTTGCAATCGCTTCGTGTTCTTTTAAAGTGATATGGGAAAAGACTCGACGGGATGGAATTACACTAATCCACTGCGGACATCAACACCACTTCAAGGATGATTTAACACAGAAAGGCTAAGGTTGAAAATCCCAGTACTGTCTTTACCGGTTTTCTGTTCACGCAGTCGATCAAAATGTATTCCTATTAACAAATGGACGGTTTGTGTTATGGTTGACTGTGTTTTGGCTGATTTTTGTGTTTGTTCTTTAACTCGACATTCAGCAGTATTCTAGCTACAACTCAGCGGTCAAAGCAAATACGAGATTGATATCATGAGCAACGCTCAATGCTGCGGGGATAAGATGGAACCCCATCTACCCCCGTTGCCACTGAGTCTATTGACAAACAGAGGCGGCTGGAGTTGCTGGGACCAATGGCGTTACTGGAGCTGCTGTGATTGCTGTGATTGCCGTGGTTGCCGGGTCCCGGGTTGCCGGGGTTGGCGGGATTGCCGTTGTTGCCGAGGTTGCTGTGGTTGCTGGAGTTGCCGGGT